TTTCTCTAGTGAGGAAAACAAATGCCCCCATGCTTCCTGGCACTAGTTAATGCCCTGTGATTAAATTATATGCTTTGGAAATGTGATCTTTCCCAGAAAACGTGTGACAAGCTTTGGTGTAATTATGCTGGATTTCCCCTCGTTTTGCTCAATGGATGCCCCGAGTGCTGCCAAATTCTTTCCCCTCAGCTACCTTTATGTCTTCTGTGCTTAAAATGAAGGTGTTCATGTTTCTTGTATATTTACCCTCCGAAGCCGTTGAACAAAAAGTGGGCTCTAAGGTCAAGTCTAATAAGTAGATGCTGGGCCTTTTCAGAGAGCACTATTGTATCTCGACTGGCCGACTGAAGATGGAGATTATGATCCTGCAAGTGAGCTAAAGCTGCCACTGTGGCCTTACCGACAAACGGATCTATCTTTGACTCAGTCCAGTTGCACGCTCTTTATGAGCACAGGTAATCTTTCATTGTTCAAAGTCACAAAACAACAAGAAAGGCAAATCTCCAAACAGAACCTGTCAGAGAAAGATACGCCTTTCTTAGAATTCATAACCTCTCCCTGCTTTTCTTTCTTCTTCCTCTGCTTGCTCTGGCTTTTAGGGCTTTACGTGGCAATGTCAGACGAGTCTCGACAAGCTCGTTGACACAAACAAGTCTCAGCTCCATCTCACGAGGCGTGGGACGGGCCTGCAGATGTTCCGTGGACAAGTCGTATCTTGCCACCTTTCGCTGGAACACTCGTCTCTTTGAGCGCTTCTGTCCTCCCCCAACTTCTATCCTCCTTCTCATCTCCTTGTCCTGCGGCGTTATGAGAGACGTAGCCGACAAGCTTTACTCATTGAGCAGTGAACAGCCCCTTCGGCACTGCAGGGTTCAGGAGGAAGGCATGGAGTATTTACACGAGTATTACTGACCCATTCTTCTAATCCTCAACTCACTTCTTGAGACAACAACTCCAGTGGTCGCATTCCTACGGTCATACAGGTGAAAACCAACGGGCAAACAAAACCATGCCGTACTGTGAGACGTGTTGCTGATAAGTTGACATCCTAAGGCAGCCAAAATGGTGGCCCTGCACTAAAAGAACAAGCAAAATAAACACTGACGAGTCAGAAGTGAACCGAAAATGATAGAGGAGATTGGCTTCCTTTGAAAATTTAAAACGAAAAACAATGTTCTTGTATGATTTGTCTTATCACTGACATCAACAGAAAAATCAGGATTGCAAAAGCGTTCCTGTAAATGAGAAGTGGTAGGATGCAATACCAGGAAATGTTTGCGTGGGTGTGTGTGTGTCATGCTGGACTAGATTGAATTGCATATGGAGAAGAAGAGTGGTTTACATAAAGTGGAACGGTGACAAAAAAAAGCATTTCGTTTAGCTTAATTGCAGAGGAGACACTCTTCCCAATGTTCTGTGCACTTTGAAAAAATGAAACTGTGATTGAGCAGCGATGATTTAAATGAGACAACCGAGGGTGTGGCGTCTTTCTCACACCCAGAAGCCTTCCAAGTACGGTGAGGTGTCTGACAACTGCTGCTGTATTGGTGAAATCAAGGAGCGAGGATGACAAGAGCTGTTGTGGGAATAGGGTAAATGTCACAATCCCACACTGCACTGCAGCCAATGAGCACAGAGCAACTCGCAAACCAATCTCTGCTCAACTTGTTTACTTAAAGATGTGAGATGGCATTACCGCAACTGGTTTTTCAAGACCACAATCTGCCAAATTCAAGATTAACAAGACATTGGTTTATAATGGCTGGGACTTTTATCTCAATTAATGTCTGTGATTTAATGACTTCCACAGTTGCGCTCAAGTTCAATAGCATAAATGGATCACATTTAGCGAAAAAAGTTGACATTATTGCTAACATAAAGGACGGCGAAAAAGAGAAAAGATGATCAACTTATGACTGCAAAGTCCTTAATTAGTTATCGCTAGGGTGCGCTGTGCAACTGAAGGACAGTTTTTTTTTGTTTTGTTTTTTTGCTCAATGCATTGATGGGATTGTCCTTCTGCTACTACAACTAGCCCAGCGGGTTTAGTTGGTTTGATTATCAAGCGGTGACACCTATCTATGCAAAACAAAGTCACAGAGACACAGCTACCGCAATGTTCACTGATGCGCCCTGATTCCGCTATGCGGATATAGCGGTTCATGAAAAAAACTTTACCAGCAGGGGTCAGCCGTGGCCATTTTTCTTGCTTTTGCCTGCTTCAATATTTTATTTTCTAAGTCATTTATTTACACTAGTCTAGTGGTGCTGGTTTTGAAAAATTGCACTTAATTATCTTATGACAACACTTCAGTGCGATTTTTTTTTAGAATGGGATGCTTAAATGCTGTGGTGTAAAGTAATTAATAACAAATATTAATATGAATGTAATTAAGTAGTTTTTCTCAGGAATTGTAATTTACTAAGTAGTTTTATAAATGTGTACTTTTACTTGAGTACATTTTAGTGCAGTATCTGTACTTTACTCCACTACTTTCCTTCAACCTGCAGTCACTACATGATTTTTTCTTGTCTATGGGGATTTTTAAAAATCTTGTCCTGTGATTCCTGTCCAATCAAATCACACACAGAAGGTAAATCGCATCATAATGAACAACCTCAAGACATGGGCGATTTATAATTGCAGTAAATTGTTTGGAAGCATTGAAGAAAATGTCTAAAATCTTTACACGCATTGACCCAGAGACTGTTTTGATGCATGTTACTGATGAGAAAATGACAGATGTTTACTGTATGATGACTGAAATAGCCTAAACACCCAGCAGGCACAAGACGTCAACATAATGTCAGATTGACATTGTACCCCAACGTCATAGGGACGTTGCATATTGTTTGGAAATTAAAATTGTGTTGATGTCAGAACTCAACTTCAGGTCAATGTCCAACGTCCAACCTAAAACCAACCAAATATTTACGTCAAATGATGTTACAGCTTGGCGTTGTGTGGATGTTACCACTATGATGTCTATCAGACATTGGTTTTAGTTGCCATACCTGATGAATAAATGTCAGTATTTGATGTCAATATGACATTGGTTAAAGATGTTGGCTCGATGTTAGATTTTGATCATTATCCAACACAACCTAAAATCAACCAAATATCAACGTCATTTGACATCGTTATTGGAGATCAAAATAACGTTGTCCTTAGACACTAGCAAGACAGAATTTTGGTCACCTGACATCACAACCTAAAACTAACCTAATATTAATGTCTTATAAAGTTGTGTACCTGCTGGGCAATAACTAGATGCAGTAATGTTACGTTTACGCACACAAATTACATGTAAATGCTTCAGCATTTAACAGTGTAATAATCAATACTCACTACTCATAAGTACTTTAGAAAGGGCTACTTTTTAATCCTACTTTGAGTAATATTTACAACAGATACTTTTTAGATATTTTTCTTTTTCAGATATTTTTAGGCAAGTAATTGTACTTTTTAATGAGTATGGTTTTTCAGTACTTTTTCCACCACTGCTTCAATGATAATAAATGCTGAAAATGTAATCAGGAGATTGGTACATACTTTCATCCATTGTGGCAATGTACAAAGATTCAACCCTTTTGGGAATCTGCGTTAAGACAATTAGGTAGATGTCAGTGATTTGATATCCCTCTCTCACCCAGGATGTGCCTTTTAGGTGACAAAACTGAGGTTCCACATATTACAAATGATGAGTTCACCCTTATTCTAACTATGGGCATAGTTACAGCAGCATGTATAATACTGAGGTTTTGGAAAATATTCAATGTTCTACACTTAAATTATGGATGGAATCCACGATTGAGAATGTATCATATGAGAAAATGTTGGCTAAAATGAATGTGATTACAAGGAAATAGATAAATGGGAGATTTTAATTTCCTCACTTGAAATACCAATGTATCTAACCTGTTATGCTTTGTACTATTATTTTTAGTATTTCTATATATTTTTTTACTGGTTGTTGAATTGTTTATTTATTTTCTAAAAATGCATAAATTGTGAAGAACTTTACATTTTGTATATATTTGTGTGGTATTGTATGTTACATAAAAAAAAACTAATGAAAATTTATTTTTTAAATTAAACATTTTTGAAAAAACAAAAACAAAAAAAAACAGCCCAGTTTAATCCAACAGGGACTTTTTTTTCTTCCAGCCAGGTGGATATTATAACTGACATCTTTCATATATATCACAGATGTGCCTAACGCTGAGATCAGACAGATCAAAATGTTACTGTCCTCCTAGAGGAAGAAGACCCTTCACAGCACAGACCTATTGCTTTAAAGTGACATCACATAGTCTTTGTCCTTGTGTAACACAGAACCACAATACATTGTCAGAACACAACAAAACACTCCAAATGCTATATAGAGGGCTGAAATGAATGGTTATGACTGATTTACGACCAGAGGGCAGGAGGTCCAATTTCCTGGTGCAGAAATATTTAGTTGTCACCCTAAAGCCAGATACTTAACCCCAATAAGGAAAAACATACTCCGGTTTCTCTGCTTCCAGCCTTAATCCCATAAATATATGACTAATATTTTATATATGGGTCAAAAGCAGGTAAAAATAATCATCTTTAGACATGAATACTTCACACTTTTACAAACTGTAACTATATTTAACTATGAAAAAATTCCAATTATACACAAATTAAAAACATTATTGTAATAATAGTTTACTTTTTTGACTCCCAGAATAATGTACATGCTTAATACACTTAATAAATACACTTAATACACTTAATAAAGCATAATTATAAAAGTAAATCATTTAGAAATTAGTTAAGAAACTCACAAAATACAATTGTTTTAGTATTATTATTTTATTAACCAACTATCCAGTAAAGAAAAAAAATGTAAAAATGTGCATCCCTTCAACACCTCAGACATTCATTCCAAATGTACAGACTCATCCATGTCCCTACATGAGAAATTTGCTACAGAGAAATGAGAAATGACTACATTTGCTGTATGTCTTACCGTCCAGGTTGCAGATTTGGCTGTGCTGGACTGCTGGAAGGACACGTCAAAGGTGTGTGGGCCAGCGTAGTCTGTGTTGGATGGGATGGCAGGTGATGGAGAGAGGGCTTCAAAGGTGGAGCTGGGCTGGGCATAGGGCGATGGTGCGGTCACATTGTTTTGAGCATGATCGTTGTTGTAGGGGCTGGTGGATGTGGAGCCCCCATTTTGATCCATGCTGTTGAGAAGCCCCAGGCTTGTATACTGAGGCTGGAGGAAAAACAAAAAGCATTTTCATCAGCATAATATCGTTTCCAGTGTTTATGGTATTAGCGATGTCATATGAACAAAGACACAATATTCATCAAACCATTAATGAGTTGTTTTCACAACACAGCTTCTTTTGATGTTAATACATCAGGCTATGATGTAATGGTGGGCTTGGAGAAACAGATGATGTGCATAACAGCCAGCACTTGGCGGACTTAAGTAAGTCTTTCCACAATATGTTTAGGTAAGAGAGAGGTTATACTTATTCTCAAACAGTAAAAAGCCAAAGACAGATAAAAAGAGCAGATGCATTCTAAAAAAAGGGAAGTAAAGTCAGCTATGCTATTTAAAGCTATTATTTAAATAATTGGAATACATTGGAGTTAGGATGCTTCCACCTAATAGTCACATTTCAAACTAATCGAAAGCAGCCGAACATCCTCAAAATGACATGCTCACATGCTCAAAATGAGCTCCTTCTAAATTCATACTACATAATACATTTATCTCATCATTTTAATTCTATACTACTGGTATAACATTGCAGTTTATCACTGTGTAAACAGCCATCATATTCAGAAACAATTAAGTCTTTAGCACAATGTAATCTCTTTAAGTTTGTGAGGTCTGCAAGAATTGATCAAGACTTTAAATGAACTGGAAGATGCAGTAACAACAAAGCGAGATGGGGTCAGTGAGGGGGATGACTAGCGAATGGCCAATACACAGTTCACACAGCTCCTGTTGCCTTGTTCCAGTGAAGGCGCAGAGAGGAATTAAAATGACTGTCATTTGAGAGAAAGAAGAATGTTCTGGAGGCAAGCCAGCCTTTTCCAGCCCCACTCCTCCAGTCCATTCCTTTCCATTAATACACACCACATTCCTGGATGAGGTGCCATGGTTGTGTTTCTCTTTAAACCGTCATTAATCTCAACCGAGTCCCTTGTTTATTTTAGGCATGGCTGGAGACAGCTGTCCAGATTGCACGCTTATCCTCTTTCCCACTCTTTTCCTGCTTCATTCTATTTTACTCTATCAAGTAAAAAAACTCCTGGTGCTGCTGGTGGTTTGGCTGAATCACAAATAGGGCCAAGTAGAAGAAAAATTTGATAAGTTTACAGTTTTAATTTTGTAAAATCCAACTGATTACAGTTTTTTTATGTATAAGTAAAATATTGATATATTGATATAAGTTGTAAATAATGATTATTGAAGCATGCCTTACAAGAAAAATGTTTATTTCATGTATAGTTTCTTTGTGTATAGTAAAAGTTGTTTCTAAATCAGCATTTTTTTCAGTGTATATTTATAATGATCACCTTGCCATTGAATTATAGAAAACACAATAAAGTTGCAGAATGGCTGTTTCTAACACAATGATTGAGGAAGTGAAAGGAAATTTAATATCTTTCACTCTTCTAAACAACATAAAGCATCTCAACTTTTCTTCGTATCATTGAAACAATTATTGAATTTTCTTTATATATTGGGTAAACAAAAAAGCTAAAATATTTGTATTGTTTTCCTTTGATCACAAGTAGTTTAACTAACTATGAAAAAATTCTACTCAGAGATATTTTATATACACACACACACACACGCACGCACGCACGCACACACACACACACACACACAGTTGAAGTCAGAATTATAGGCCCCCTGAATTATTTAAAAAAAAAATGGTAGTAATAATATCTGACTAGATGTTTTTCAAGACACTTTTGTACAGCTTAAAGTGATATTTAAAGGCTTAACTGGGTTATTTATGTTAACTAGGCAGGATTGAATAATTAGGCAAGTTATTGTATAACGATGGTTCTGTAAACTATCGAAAAATATATAGCTTAAAGGGGCTCATAATTTTGACCTTAAAATAGTGTTCATAAAATTAAAAGCTGCTTTTATTCTAGCCGAAATAAAACAAATAAGACTTTCTCCAAAAGAAAAAATATTATCAGATATACTGTGAAAATTTCCTTGCTCTGTTAAACATCATTTGAGAAAAATAAAAAAAAGAAAAACATTCAAAGGGGGCTAATAATTCTGACTTCAACTGTATATATATATATATATATATATATATATATATATATATATATATATATATATATATATATATATATATATATATATATATATATATATAGTTTTTCAAAAGTTGCCCTACAGGGACAATGTTTGCTTGTCAAACTAATATGCTCAAATGATAAATGTATACATTTTCTAGATGTATTCTATTTTTCACATTTTATTGGTGTTACTTAACTATAATAACAAAAATTTTTTTTTAACTTTTATTATTTTCAATTATTTGAAATGAACACTAATTTTCTACTCCCACACCCAAGAGTGGGTCATTTCCATGACCTCAGCATACCTCTCTAACAGTGCCGTAGGGTATAAGAAAGAGAATTGCCATTTGCGATGTACAGACAGGGGTCATTGTGTGTGCGTGTGTGCCACGAGCCTGCTCAGCCTTCTGGAAACAATAAGTCTCAGGCTTTTAAGAGCCTGTCTGAAGAAACAATAGATCTGGTCCATGGGTGTATGAAAAGAAGTGTATTGTAAGAGTAGATGCACATACCCACACAAAGATGACCCAAACACTAGAGTTGTTCCCTCCAGCCTTAACTGCGCTTCTCAAACACACACGTCCTTACAATGGAGCAATTAGGAGATAATGGAATCTTTTAGAGACAGTAAGTCAGCTTGTGAGTCTGATCCCACTACCACTGCGTCTACTTCAAGACACTAGTAGTGCATTAGCATTCATTTCAAATTAAAATTAAAGCTATAGGCTTTCAGAGAGATAAAAAAAAATCTACAATAAACAACAATCTTAAGCTGGTAAATTGTCAAAATGCGAAAAATTAACATTACAGTTCATTTCTACACATGCACACACATAAAAACTGATGGAAATTTTAAAGTTCATTTAGCAATGCTCTGCTGAAATAAGACACATTTATGCACTGTTTTCAAGAGTTAATTTAATGTGCAGATGTTCACAAAAATGACAATGTTTTCAGATTAGGCCAATTGATTTATGCAATTGCCCTTTATGATTTATTTAAACATACACAAATACCTACACTACCTTACTTAAATACCATTCCTTACATAAAGCAGAAGGACAGTTAAAGTGCAAAAGTGAGGGGAGTAAAGTTTATGATCTCTGCTTATGTTAAATATGAGGAAGTACTAAATCAAAGTTTGTTTACACAAAACATCCCAGCAGAAACCATTTAGTCTTCTTGATCAGAGTATAATTTTTCTCCAGCACCTAATCAATTTCTTTATCCTCCACAATGAAACAACTATATAACAACCACTTTAGCTGCTCTTAAAAATGCCATGCTGTTTATAGCCTCCCCGAGAAGCGTGAGCCCTTAGGATGTCAAGATGCTTATGCAGAACCATAAATTAGATGGTCGTGTCAGGACAGCCTTTATAATATTGGTGAAAGTTTGAGTAATAATATGCATTGATTGCTAAATAAAAAAGGGGAATAAGATTAAATAGCTGAATGAGAAAAAAAATTATTAAAGTTAATAAACTTTAACTTTTTGAAATGCTACAAGGGATATGATTGCATTACGAGTATTTCATTCCTAAAAATACAAACAAATATGTGAGAATAATTAATTGCAATACTTTATGAAATATGCAATCTACAGATCATACCATTTTGATGACCCTTTCCATTGTGCCTAAATATATAAAATACACATATATAAAATATATGATGCAATATTAAAATTCAGTGTTTAGCTGTTTCTTTGAAAACATTTAGGCAAAAAATAATAAAAACCTAACTTTCAATCAAGATAATATTTTCAGTTTTGTTAATATCAGTCTCCAATTAGTTCCATAGTCAACAAAGAACATCTTTTAAATCTGTGAGTTGTGAAAAACGCCAACTGTACACCTGATTTTCAGCCTTCAATGCTAACTGTCTTAGATCCTGATTCCATAAGAAGTATCCCAATAACCAAAACCGCTAAATAGCTGCTACTTCATTCAAAGTAGTTTAGAGTTTAAAAGCAGACCGAAGGCTCCTAACTCTAGAGCACTGACAGGAGCTGAGGCTGCCCTGGCCTGAGGGGGTGAAATGGCTGCCATTCCTGGGTGTGTTCCACTGACCTGGGCAGTCTGTAACCCGGGATGGGTGTTGAGAACATCTGTGAGGCCTTGATGAGTGACCACAGGGGTAGAAAGCATTAAGTAGTAAATTGGGGAAGGTGGAGGGGTGGTGGGGTCTTTTTCTCTTCGCACTTCGTACCCAGTGGGCTGGGCAGAGCAGATGATTGTATCTGTGACCACCACAGCTAAAACAATTACAACTCCTAGACTTCTCAGGATCAATGTGATGCATGCATTCTTCAAAGCGGCTCCACAATCTGTCACTCAGACAAGCCGGAGGTAAACCTGAAGCCCCTCTGATGAGTAAAACTTGAATGATTCTTTAGGGTTCCCGAAACACTAAATAACCTCAGCTTTAGATGTGAATCTGGGGCTGTTTCAGAAAGGAGGTTAAGTGCAATCTCAGAGTATGTCAACCCTGAAATGAGGGAAACTCAGATTTCTTTTGTTTCAGAATGAAAGGTATGTCAAACCTGAAAAAGTCAGAAATGGTACTTGACTAACATTAACACTTTTTCAGGTGTGACATATCTCCCATTCTGAAACGGAAAACACACAGTTTCCCTTATTTCAGTGTTAACATACTCTGAGTTTTGACTTAACCTCCTATCTGAAATGGGCTTTTGATCTATTTGAACCTTCCCTTAAAATATTTGCAGTAAATCGAAAACACTATCTCATTTCTCCTGAATTCTTTACACCTCCATGTCTCCTCTTACAACACAAAACATGCGTGTCTACGGACCCATAACCCGTACCATGATTAAAGAGAGTGAGAGATCGAGCGTTTAAAAGCATTAATCAAAGCTGTGTGGGCAGTGGATTGGTTTACTAAAGCCAGCTTTAACAATTCTAGGAGGTGGGGGGGAGAAGACTGGACTGTGTTTCTACCAACAGGTTTGTCTGTGAGCTAACGGTGTTGTGTTGACAAGAGGTTTGTGTATGAGTAAAGCAGCGCTGAAATCACAGTCTAAACTACCACCTGTCAGGAAGGAATGGGGGTGCTTTTAGAGAACAAATACAGATCCGGCTGCTATCTTAGTTGGCTTAGGATGCTCAAGTATTGAACTTCAGGTGTATTATATTGAAGTAAGTACAAATTAAGCTCTGTTTGATGAAAATTCTGTTGAAATATATATTATAGTTTTTAAAAAGTTTAAAATACTAATAAATAAAAAAAATCATATTAGGAAATAACTAAATATTCACTCCATAAATTAGCATCCATACATTGAATCAGTGTTTACTTATTACTTCAGTTAAACAAAATAATCCAGGAAATCTGATAACTATCATCCATGACTATTCAAAAACACATTAGTAACCTGACACGAAATTCAAGCTTCGCTGTGAAATCATGATCCCTTTGTCACTTAAGTCAATTATACTGACTTAAACTATTATTATTATTATTTTTTTTTCCCTTTCCTCTTGTTGCAATAAAATGACTTTGACTGACATTTTTGGACGAACTGCACACTTAAAAAAAGGATAAAAAGTTTTGTTCTTTTATAAAAAATAATAAATAAATGCACAAACAGTAAGTAAATGGAATTAACCATCCAATAAGTGATATTAAGGTTAAGTAAAAGTAGACTCCATTAGTACTTTCTCAAAGCAAACGGTCCGATTGCAGCCCATTGTCCTATACAAACAAGACTATCAGTCTCACCGTCTCAAACAAATCCATTATTTGCCAAATACCTTGACTCAACCCAAGAGCAGTGCACTGTAGACAAAACAACAGCTAGACAAGCCATTAGAGCAATTCACATTGATTTTTATCAGTGTATACACACCGATTTCTCACACCCATGCATCAATGTTAAATCCATTATCACGCATCATCCGACATGATGTATTAAATGCAAACATTTTACATTCTAAAGCACTGCTGTAAAAACTTTTGCGATTGTGCACTAGCACTATAAAAATTACACAAATCAAAGCATATACTAAAGTATGAAAAAAGTGTCAAACTAAAACAACAAAATCACAAGATTTTTACTTTTTTGTTTCACCTCAAGAAGAAAAGAATGTACGCAACACATTTCGCAATGCCTTGGCAAGGCCTAGCTCATTTTTATAATACTCCTGCCATCCACTGTACAGGATTCGCTGAAAATCCCAAAATTTACCACTGGAATCAATTGTATGTATCCTAAATGGGTAGTGGTATCACGCGGGCCTTACCTCGCTGTAGGATGAGGGAGCATTGGTCTCCAGGTACAACATATTGGCGCTGAGGTTGAGCAGTGCAGCTGCTGTTTGCTCCACAGGCTCCAGGATTCTTACCCCTAGTTTTCTTCCTTTTATCCCCTAAAAGTGTGATGTGGGCTTCAGAGGTAAATGGTACGGGCTTAAGGTCTCTATAGGAATTCAATGGGATTTCTATATATACCACAGCGACAAAGAGGGGAGGTTCCAAGAAGCTACCTGTCCAACACCCCACCCTGCTTTTAGGAAGGTGTTGCCCGTCTTCTGGCTCCGTTTTCAAGATTTAACTCTAAGAAGTTACGAAGTCTGCACCAGACCTAGATGTCTTTCCAAAACAGCCTTTTAATTGCTGTCATTTTCCCTATTATATCAAAAAAAGACTGAATTATTATTAAAAAAACACACATTTTGACCTAAATTTCCTTTAAACCATTTTCAAAACAAATGTACATCAAAGATTTTCAAAATATGATATAATTGTAATATTTGCGAGTGCAGTTTATATTTTAAATAAAGTCATGAAACAGGCTCCAAAAATATTGAGTCAACTGGAAATCTCAGAGGCCAAACATTTAAGCAATTTTTGCATTAATAAAACAATTATTATAACTACAATCAAATGAATCATCTTTAAAAGGAGATATTATGAGTTGAAATAATAACATGATAATTTGACATTCTTAATGGTTTAAATACTTCAAAATGCGATTAAAAAATTGCATGGACAAAAAAAAAAGAAATAAAAGAATGACTGCACTGATAGATGGTGCCTCCAGACACATCATTTTCTCTAGCTTTTTGGAGGGAATCTGCTTTATAGAACTGCGATGACCTTAGAGCACTAAATTCTCTTCAGTTGTAGCATCCATAGCCTGTTTGCATAAGAATGAGTCTCTCCTCACCACCCAAAGAGCCTCTAGCATGGCCCTGTGACAGTCGCATGAGAAACAATAGGACTACGGTTGACAGCTTGTATCTATCAGAGATCACTGGTGTAGATTTGTTTTGAACACACTAATGTTGTTTCAGATAGATGAGAACCAACCCACTCCATTGTGAATATTTAAATGTCTTTATGTTAGATTCATCAGAAGATACAGAACAAAGAAAGCCCACTGCAGGTACTAATGTCATTTCACACTACAAAAAGTGCAAGTTTTTAAACATACTGTACTGTAAGCATCTAATTTTTAATTTTTTAACAAATTTATTTATGATCATCAGTGATGCCAAAACATGTTTTAATGCCACTTACCGGTTTGTAACTCAACAATGAAAACACACTGAACAACAAGCGGTCCCACAACAAAATGTGATCAAATGTGTTTTCGACTACCTCTTGCTGTGGTTGAAAGTGAACTAGTTCAAAATGTTTTAGACGCTATTTTCATCTGTATTTAAAGAAATTGTTTATCAGTCATCATTTACTCACTCTTGACTTGTTCCAAAACAGTTGAAAAATAAGATATTTTGAAAAATGTTTTAAACATTTCAAACATGAATGCAAATATTAGTATTTGTTTTTCCTACTATAAAAGTCTCCAACATTTCCAACATTCTTAAAACATCTTATTTTGTGTTCAACAGAACAAAAGAATTCAAACTGGTTTGGAACACTAAATTAAAATGCGGAAAATTCATTTTTAGGTGAATCATCCCTCTAATATCACCCACTTGTGATTAGATAGATGAAAATGTGGTGTATAGGGGTCCTTAAAAGGGTCCTTTGTCAGTTCTGAGAAAGGCAGATGGCAGATGATGTCATTAATGAGTCACTTTTAAAATATATGCTATTAAAAAACATACATTTTTTAAACACCTATGTAACACCATGAGCAAATCTCTTCAAAACAGAAGCTTGCACTCTCCTGGGGGTAGATGCTGCTATTCAGAGCACCTTTTTTGTGGGGGGTGGGGTGGGTAGCGTTAGCTAAACAAGCTTCTAATTACCTTAGAAAAACATTGGTTGCAATCTACAACAGGGGTTAAAGCCTTCACTCCTGTGGCACTTAAATCACAGCAGGCTGCTGCTATAAATTGAGCTGAGGTGCTTTGACTACACTGACTGCAAATGAACTTCTGCAAAATGAAAACAATCAGAAAGACAACCTAAACATTCCACACTACGTACAATGTGCCTCTAATACACAATCATTTTACAAAAAACTATACATTATTTGATTCTCTTTATGCAATGCTCTCCAATCAACTAAATGATCATTTAATGATTCATTTTCTTTTCGGCTTAATCTCTTTATTAATCTGGGGTCACCACAGTGGAATGAACCGCCAACTTATAGTTTTACGCAGAGAATGCCCTTCCAACTGCAACCCATCACTGGGAAACATCCATAAACACTCAATCACACACAAACACTACAGACAATTTAGCCTACACAATTCACAGATGCCACTTGTTTTTAGACTTGTGGTGGAAACTGGAGCACCCAGAGGAAACCCACGCCAACACGGAGAGAACATTCTCCACACAAAAATGCAAACTGACCCAGCCGGGGCTCGAACCAGCGACCTTCTTGGTGTGAGGTGATTGTGCTACCCATTGTGCCACCATGCTGCCCTACTAAATGATTAATAAATTATAATTTTATTCTATATTGAAAATATAATGGAAAACATTGTCATTATCCCTTGACATGGTTATTACAATAAAATAAAACTAGAGTTGAGAGTTTTGCTTTGTAATCAGAGGAATTTCAACTTTGTCATCAGAGGAATAAATGTAAATATAGTAAAATCTATTCCAGGACTGTTTCAAATAGTGATGACAATTATTATTTTAGCCATGTTGAAAGTAAATTGCATAAAACATGTTAATAACCAACAATTATAAAAAATACTGCCCTTAAACTTTGAACAATATTGTCATGCAGAATATTTGCTTACTCTTTTTTTATTACTCGTACAGAAAACGAGCCCACGACTTTTATTCATTTTTATTTATTTATCTTTTATTTTTCCAGGAAGGTACTAATAAAATTAACAAAAATCCTTTTATAATGAGAGTCCTGTCTAAGATGACCATATAAACAAGTTTAATTAATAGCGTACTTTTAAGATAATATGACGTACAATACACAAGACATGAATGATTTATTACTATAAAACTACACAAAGATCATATTGTACATCAAGCCTGTAAAAAACAACAACAGCAACATGGCTCATTCAATATATTTTGTTTTATTTAAACAAAATTGTTTTATTAAACAACTATATCCATTAAATAATAATAATACATACATTTTTTTTATTTAATAAATACAATTTCAAACAACAAAATTTCAACTACATTTAATATTTTTTATGTTTCTCGGGATTTTTCATGTTTATTAAAATTGTGGACGGTGCAGTGACACAATGGGTAGCCCTATTGCCTCACAGCAAGAAGGTCACTGGTTCGAGCCTTGGCTGGATCAGTTGGCGTTTCTGAGTTTGCATGATCTCCCTGTGTTCGCGTGGGTTTCCTCCGTGTGTTCCGGTTTCCCCCACAAGTCCAAAGACATACGCTATAGGTGAATTGGGTAGGCTAAATTGTCCGTAGTGTATGTGTGTGAATGAGAGTGTATGGGTGATTCCCAGTGATGGGTAGCAGCTGGAAGAGCATCCGCTGCATAAAATATATGCTGGATAAATTGGCAGTTAATTCCACTGTGGCGACCCCAGATTAATAAAGGGACTAAGCAAAAAAGAAAATGAATGACTGAATATTAAAATTGTATTTAATATTTTTCCTTAACATATTAATTTTTGCATAGACTAATGTTTGGTTTAATTTGGGTGTACTCATTAGATCTTAAGTTTAGTTATTTTGTTGCAGTTTTGATTTTGTAACTGACAATTCTAATGTATACACACACATATATTATTGTAAAGCATCCTATGGAAAAATAATACTTTAAAATAGAGATCTGTGATGATCATTTATGCTGAGCACTGTATATATATATTTAATTATTCAAAAAAAGGAATCGCTTCTATAGTGGAGTAATAATCTGAAAATAGTTTCCAAAGCTATAAGAGTAAGCTGATTTTTTTTTTTTAACGTTCTCAATGCACTCCAGGCACTCCTAATTAAATTCCAAATGAAAATCTAATCTAGTCTATAATGTAAAATTAAAAATAAACAACATCATATTTAATTTTCTTTGTCAATATAATGACTAACCTACATTATTGCACAGCAAACAATATCAGGTACCTGAGTGAACATTAAATATAAAACATTTTAGTTTTTAAAGATAAAACGGAGTTGTTAATAAATCAATTATTTTTAATTTCTTTATTGCACTGGCTTGAAATGCTAACTCGGGTGGAGAAGTTATTTATGTGTCCCACCGGGGTCAGAGGTGGCAGCATTAAGGGACAGCCTAAGGTGACAATAGTCAAAGTGCACAAAGGGCTGGACCCCAAAACCTGACCCACCTAACAATCACAAATTATACCACAGGCTGCAATCAGGAGAAGTAAAGCCCCTAAAAAGCTTTTGCTTTAGGGAGGCTATCCATGATTTAAAAAATCTAGAGATTAAATTTGCAACATCATTCCCAAAAAGCAGATCCCTCTGGTTTGAAATTGCTGATGGTTCACACAGCCTGTAGTTTGTTAATATTAAAAAAACTAAATGATATTGCCTTTGTCTTTACTCCCTGTATTGTTTTTTTTAAATATATATACAAAATGTTGTTTGATTGTATACTGTTATTTGAATGATTAATGCTACTGTTGCTTCTTTTAATTGTCTTTATCTGCATATTAATACGCAAATTATTATTTATAAATATGCAGACGTTTGGTCAAGTGGAGTAATGGTCGTGCCCGACTGAGCCTGGTTTCTCTCGAGGTTTTTTAATTCGAGGTTTTTTACGTTTTTTTCTCGCCACTGCTGCGACTAGCTTGCATGGTTCAGGATCTGTAGAGCTGCGCATCGATGGGTTTGCTCCTCATTGTTTGGACTCTCAGTAGTAATTAATAAACTACACTGAACTGAACTAAACTGAACTGACCTTAAACTCGGAAAATGTAACTACACTGTTTCAATTTACTATGATCTTTTATATGAAGGTGCTTTGACACAATCTACATCTTTAGTGTATTTTTTAATGGATTGTTTGCAGGAATGTTGTAAGTTTATA